GCGCCACATGAAATGCACCCGCGATTGACGACATGCTTATTTTTATTATTGTTTGAAGTTCTGATCGAGTAACGTGAAACGCACACTCGAATTGAAATTTATGTATCATGACTATGCCACGGGAACCGTACCCATATTCACGATGATTTATTACTCACGCCTAAAGCAAGCTACGAATGTTTATAAGTTGCTTAATTTTTCCTAAGGTTTGAGATCAAATGTGAAGGTTTAAGAATTATGGAAAGGGAAAAAAAAATTTGTTATTGTGGAAGATGTGTGACTTTAACTACTAAATGTCAGTATAACCAAATACGTTACAATTGAATTCATTACTAATAAATTATTGGTACAATCTATCCAAGAAAATCACAAAATTCTGTGTCAATGTTCCATAAGATTTTATCCAACAGAAAATGGTTTTCTCATTTCAATTTACTGGTTTATGAGGATGATTCATTGCTTTTGAATACGCAAAACAACCTTCCGAATTGATTCACATGCCTCAGGAGAAAATGAATTTAACAAAGAATCATTTCAAACAGGAAAACATGATAAACAACTTTTAACGTTATTAATATTGCATCATTACAAAGATTGACTGTCGATTCTTACATCACAACCAACTTTATTAACTGGTATGTTATTCTTTCAAATCAAACAACAGTACAACAAACTAAATATCAACTAATAGACTTATACCCCTCGTGCCTTTTGTTTTAACTTATTCATTCATTTTTAGCTTCAACATTTACAGCAAAGAAGAAATGAGCAAAATGTCAGTAATAGGCCACTTCCAATTCCATTCTCCAATATATATACTGTTAACAAGCAGGAAATCGAATAACTAGAGCAATTGTACTACTGTAAACTAAGCACACAATTAATTCATTACTCTAGGAACAGAACCTATTGATCATGATTCAAGCCAAACAAACATAGTCATGGAGAAAATCAAACATGTTAATGCACCAATCCATATTTTATTACAAAATAAATGAGCTCAATACTTAGACAGATCCAAAGGCTTGCAGTCATGATTTAATACCTGGTTGCAGCAAAGCAGACAAAAGGAAAATAAATTTCTGGCTTTGGAGAAGAAATAGACAGAAATAAGAAACAGCTACAACTACTTGAAACAGCAACGAACAGCAAATGAGACCAAAACCACTTCTAGCAGCAGAAATGAAATATCGACCAAATTGAGATCTCAACTCAATCGATTCCCATTGAACTGAGGACGATTTGAGGAAAGGCAGAAACCGAACCCGAATTCATATTCCGATTCGTTTCCCACATTTTGTCAGCTTAGCTTTTTTTTGATTCCTGGAGTTTACTGACTTTAGGTCAATGACATTGTTGGGAATTCTTCTTAATTTTCTCGAAAAGATTCTTGGACCTCTTTTTCCGGTTTTAATGTCTAGATGAGTTCTCTCTCCCTCTGTTTCTATCTGTGTCTATGCGGCTGTGTGTGAGTATGTCTTTTTAATTTTGAGAGAAAGAAGATGGAGAGAAGATCTGAAGGGGGAGGCGTCGTTTTTGGTTTTTCTCCAAGGGAGAGGTCTAATTTGGTCTCTTCTCCCTTTTAGGGTTTGGGAAAATGGGTGTTTTAAAGAGGGGGGATCCGGTTGGGCCAGGTGGGTCATGGAAATTGGGCTTCTAAAGGGGTGGGCTTGACTAAACCAATTTGTGTGGCTAAACTATTATATATATTTTACTCATTAATTGACTAATGACCTATTTAATTAACTAGCCTAAAAATGCATGTAGAGTTACTAATATATTTTTTGATATTTTAGTGTTTTACAAATGCAATTAATTATAAAATGTAAAAATTCAAAATATTTTTGTATTTTCTTTAGGATTTAAAATGCAACTTAAAAATGTATCAAACATGAATACGTACAAAGCTAACTAAGTAAAAATATAGAAAAATAATTTAAAGCTATTTTTGGATTTTTTTAGGAGTAATTTTATATTAGGGCAAAAATTACGTGCTCACAAGTCTCACAGCTCAAAGTTGAATATTTTCAAAGTCAACAAGGTGACAACAAGTATGTGATGATAGTAGCTTTTATGATTATTCAACATTTGTGTGAACTATACTAGCTTTTATAGAAATTAAAAACAAATATGTGAATATTGTCAGATTCAACAAGGCCACAACTTGTCTCAATATAACTCATAGTCTATGCAAGCAGCAAGGCAAGAACCACAAAAATAGGTTATGTAACCAAAAATGCCTACTATTAGCACCCTAAATCTTCTGAAAGGCCAGAACAAAGTGCATGAAGACCCATTCAATCATATCTAGGTAAGCTAATTCAAGAGATCCCGAGGGAACCATAGTTCTGCTTCAGAGGATTTAGAAAAACCACCAAATTTCAGAATCTAGCACGTTAGCCATTTATTTACTGACTTCAATAACCAAAAAAACTAGCCTTCACCGAAAAGTCGCACAAGTCGAACTACAGCAAGATTGAAATAGATGAACCACCATCTGTAGAAGAATACAGATAAGATGCAGCTTTCATGGTACCTAAAGATCAGGCACCCCTAGCAACATGTGCCCTAAATCACTAACTCCTATCAGTCACAACTACAACGTTGAAAGGTATCCATTCCACTTCAATTATACATGCCGAGTAACGGAGGAGCTGGTTTTTTATTTCTATCCAAAACTAAGTGCTAATAAGAAGATTAATATTTTCATATTTGAAAGAGATAATCAGTAATGTGTCGATGATCCAAGAACCTAAGAACAACAACAAACCCAGTATAATCCCAAGAACCTAAGAATCGAAACCAAAATACTGATCCCAGAATGCTCAAAATAAAAGGTACACCTTATGTGCAAGAACATAGAATAACCCAAGATGAAAATTCCAGGGAGACCTTGACACAACAAACTCGAACTCTTTTGGATAACAAACTTTGATACAAACTAGAACTCTTCACCAGAAACCACATGTTAGATGGCAGAATGGTTACTTGTCCATCATCCGTAAAAACATTTGAGGGGAACAATTAGGAAATGATCAAAAGTAATACAGCACAAGGAAATGAGTAATTACCATCTGCAATCAAATAGAAGGAGGAAAGAAATGCTAAAATCCATGCGATTAAGCTTCAATTCAAAAAACCCAATGGCTCCATAACACTTACGTACTGACCTGCATTACAGGACTCCTGTCTTTCCCCTCTTTTGATAAAGCTTCAAACTTCTTGTTATCCAACTGAAACGATAAAACTCTAAGCTTAAGCATTTTGTTACCAACAATTCAAATATCCAAACTTTTCAACTAACATAAGAAGAACAAAGGATGTTCAGTCGACAAAAAAGTACCAGGAGCACAGCAGCTTGAGGGAAATACCGGTAGATGTGATCTGCAATATTCTTAGCAACATTTCCGAGCTCAGAATCATCAAATCTCTCATTGGCATGAAAATATCCAACAATAATTAAACCTTTATCACAATAATACTCCTCTATCTGTCCAAATAAAACAAAATTACAATCCTAAATTAAACACAGGACTTAGAGGCAGATCAAAAAGATTTTCAGTCAGCAAGTTGGAAGTATCACAATATCCACTGCTCCTTTGTGGCAATTGGTTCGAATTTCATATATATGTATACAAATTTATATATAAACACAAACACGCATATGCTCAGGGGCAGATCCAAAATTTTAAGTCAACTTAGAGTATGTATAGTTGTCGTAGAGTTTAAGTTAACTCTATTTAACAATATTGATCGATAACCTAGAATAAATGATAAATAACATATTATAACAGGTTAAATTACATACACTGGTGTGAAATTTTAATATATTGTCATCGTATATAACTTAAATCCATCGCATATGAGTTTAAGTTCTACGAACTGACAGAGCAAAAAATACAACAACAACAACAACCCCGTATAATCCCACAAGTGGGGTCTGGGAGGGTATAATGTACACAACCTTACCCCTACCCTGGCAGGGCAGAGAGACTGTTTACGATATACCCTCGGCTAAAGAAGATGAAAGAAACCCTGATAGCAAGTAATAGCAAGACAAATAATTAGAAAACTAAATCGAAGATAGCAACAGAGATACCGATAACAAGTAATAGCAAGACAATATATTTAGAAAACTAAATCCAAGGCAGCACAAGAATATGAACGAAGTACAGCCAGCAAACTACGGAATTAATGATGACAAGTAATAACAGAACAAGACATGTGAATATAGCACACTAAGGAAAAAAGGGTACCGTACTAGCACTAATACTATCGAACTATAGAAGTCAAAGAGAAACGCACGACTACCTACTAACCTTGTACCCTAATCTTCAACCTCCACACCCTTCTATAGGTGACTTAAAACGTAATTGGTGTAAAAAATTCAATACAGTGTCAAATGTGTATAAGTTAAAGGACTGACAACTTAATGAATTTATATGCCATCACTGCAATTTAACATGTTCTTCATGTTACTTACCATTTATTCTAAGTTACCAATGAATGCTTNATATATATATATATATTCACATAAGATGTTAAAAAAAATATAAACAGTTGCAGCTGAACGCAGTGAATGTTGAAATATAAAGTGTAGTGACGGACCATAATTAGGGCAATTTCGAGGGGAGGAAGGACCCCGATTTGGGAGTGGAACAAGGGAACCGACTCCACAATTTCCACGGTGTCATCGCCGGAGACGCGGCCGAGGAGAACGCCGTTGACGGCTGAGGTTTTGTGCTTCAGCGCGTGGAGGATCAGCTTGATATAGGCGTTTTGGTGAATCCCGTACGTTGATTCGATCCCCATTACAACAAACACAAGCAGAGCAAATTCCAGTATCTGTTTTATAGTTCACATTTTTGACGTTTTTGGCGGGTTTTTGGGCCCAACCTTTTGAAACGGATAATCACTTGGGCTGTAAATTGGGCCTTATATGAAGATTGAAGGTAAAAATAGCACGGGCTAGTCAGTTTTCAGACTGGTAATTGAAAAATAGCCAGCATTTGCAAAGTCATTGAAAAATAGCCACTATTTTGCTGTAATACGGAGAGTTCCAGTTTTCAGACTGCTAATTAAAAAATAGCCAGCGTTTGCAAAGTCATTGAAAAATAGCCACTATTTTGCTGCAACACAGAGAGTTCCAGCATAATATATTGGAGATTGGTGCACATGTGTATGAACTTTCAGCATATTATGTTGGACCAGTATATTATGCTGGAACTCCAGTACATTTATGATGGAGTTCCAGCATAAATATACTGGAACTCCAGCATATTATACTGGAAGTTCACATGTAAAAAATTCGAACTCGAGTATATTATGCTGGAATATTTTCAGATTTTGAACAGTATTTTCGTTCAGATTTATCTTTACATGAAAAGTGGCTAAAATTCGATTATTTTTGAAACTGTGGCTATTTTCAATTATCACTTGTAAATCTGACTATTTTTTAATTTCACCCGAATTGAAGCCTATTCAGTGAAGGGAGAAGTGCACAAATAGCCATTTTAGGACCCCTATTTAATGAATAGCCTAAATCTATAAAGTTTTTGAAGTTTAATCGCCTCATAATCACCTTTAGACTTTGCTAACGTCGTGATTGTATTTTGTCTGACTTTAGGCCCTTGCAGAGCCTCACTTCTGAAGTTGACTTGAAGGTCCGCCGAAGAAAAAGAAACAGCAATAGCATGAGTTGTCTAAAGTTAGTTAAAATTGGCTAAATTTTAAATAGTTTTTTTTAAAACAATGTTTGTTTTAAATAGGAGTACTCAAAGTGGCTACCAGGTGTAATCTCTACCTCAATGAAAGCCCTGAAAAAAACAGTCGTCTTTCACTATTTATAGGGATTGTTACACAAATAGCCGACCAGATTCAATGTTTACTTTTTCAAGCCGGTATACATAGATTATACATTAATTATACACAATTATACCTATATTATAGTACATGAATTATGCATATATTATACATCCGTCGGCTATTTTTAGTTTACGAGATTAGGTGGGCGGCTATTTAGGTTAATTCTTCTTATTTATACCAGCTTCCACACAAGAACCAACAAAAAAAATTGCAACGCTCCTCTACACATAATATACAGAACGCACCATCACATATAGCCCTCTAAACTGTCGTGGACTTCCATGAAATGAAAATGGCGGCATCATGCTCCACTTTTTGGCCATTTTTTAGAATTTTTAAACTATAATGGGGAAGGACAGCCTTGTACACAATGTATATCGCGTTCACGCAAGTTTTAGAAAAGGGTTGTACCCTAAGGGGTATGATGTAGTCAACCTACCTTGATGCAAGCGTCAAATGGTTAATTTCATGACTTGAACTAACATATAAGTCACACGATAAGTCACACGAAAATAACATTATCAATCCTTCGAGGCTCCTTTTTAAACTAAGGTGCTATTAAGTTAAACCTCTTATAGCTGAGGTCCCATTACTTGAGTTGAAGTCGTAGATACTGTTGTCAATAATTTATGGTCAGTATCTGGAAGTCTACTACACTTTCCCATTTGAGGACAGCACAATTCCTCATTGCTTCATTAACTCTGCAACTTGTGTCAGCATATTACATATTCTCCTGAAAATCAAACATTCTTTCCCTGTCAGATTCCCAACTTTCTTGGAATTTTCAGCACCTTAACTTAACATCCCATAAGTTTGAGAGAGAGAGAGAGAGAGATTGTATCTTGCTAATGGAGTTGGTACCTTACTCTGACCCCAAGACTGAATCAAGCAGCTCTAGTCCACCTTGGCAAGAAATGTTTCGATCTGCCTCAATGAAGAAAAATGACTCACAATCCAAGAACCATGGCTCCCCACAAACTCTCCCAAAAACCCCAGAAACCAAAGAGAATCAAGATCATAATTTTTTATCAGCTGAATCTCAGGTACGGTTGAAGTGTGTGATATCTCATTTAAAAGCTTAAGCTGGTAGGTAGAGTATACTTTTAATTACTTAATTATATTATGTCTCAACCAGTGGCAGAGCCACCTTAGTCTAGGGGTCCAAAAAATTACACTCTAGAGCTAGATAAAAGAATTATTTATATATATACTATATGTTGAATCCCCTTAGCTCTTCATGTGTTTACTTCTTTATATTTTGACTCCACTTCCTGGTTTGGGCGCTCCGCTCACTGGTCTCAACATGCCCCTCACACGCACAGTCAAAGCCATGATTAAAACTTATGGGTTTAGGATTCTAGTCAGTTTAAGTTAATGGGTTCTTAACTAATAATATATACATATTAAATAGATTTCTTAAGAAAATATGGAATTTGGACAAAAGTTACTGGATTCGGCTGGACCGACACCTTGGTCTCTATCTCCGCCCCTGCTCACGTGTGGGTTTGATTTTTTTTTCATGGCCACACACGTGGAAATTCTTCTTTTTAGGATGGGTGGGTGTGAGACTTTAATCTAAGACCTCAGTCCTCAGTGAGACTTTAATCTAAGACCTCTAACTTCTCTGGTACCATATTGAAGTGTCATTTTCAGTTAAAAGTTTAAGTTATTAGATATTGGACGCTTTTAATAACAAAATTATATTATATCGCAGCAGGTACGCTTGGCCCTCTATATAGCCATGGCTCATGCCGGTGTTGCATTCACAATTTTCATTCTTTATGCCGTGGGCAAATTGCTTGAAGAATATTTAAGGCCTATATTATGGGCAGTGCTTTGTTCAATACCATTACGAGGAATTCAGCAAGCCCTTGTTGCATTCTGGTCGGAACCTTTAGAACTAGGCCTTACCGAAACCATTTTGGCTGTCCCGATTGCTGTATTCAGAGTTTTCGTCGGAACCCTTGTTGATATTAGGGAAATGATTTTCAGGGTTGTTCTTAGGAGACAGAAAGGTAATGCCTCGAAGCGTAGTAGAAGTGGATTTTTTATGTTGTTAAGGTGGTTAGTTTCTTTTTGGGGTTTTGTGATGGCCTATGAGCTAATTGGTCTCTTTGGATCAGTAGCGCTTCTTGCGTTGGGATTTATGTTTCCGACTAACAGTGTGGAGTCTACTATGAATGCAGTAACATCTTTTAGGAGTCATAGCTTTCGTAGACTGTCAATATGTGCTTTCTTCACTAGAGGGATATTGAAAAGATTGAAAACTATCGTCGCAGTAGGACTGATCGTTGGGTTGAGCGTGGGTTCTTTGGGGGGTACGATTTTCTTCTCTTATGAGATTGGAGTGGAGGGAAAAGACGCTGTTATTGCGTTGAAATCCCACGTAGAAGAGAGTAATTATGCCGAGAAAATTGGTGTCAAACAATGGATGGATGAAAATGATGTCCCGGGGATGGTGGATAAGTACACTACTCAATTGTACGAGACTGTATTCGACCAGATAGATAGCTATGCTATCCAATATAATATGACCGAGTTTGTTAGTGGGATCAAACATTTTATCACAACCCCGATGAATAACTCTTTAGGGCGGTCAACAGCTTTGGCATCCCCCTCTCGATATGCTGCGAAGATCTTGAGCCTAAAAAGGAGGATTAAGGATCGTGAGTGGGGACAAATGTACACAGAAGTCGATGCAATTTTCCGGGAATTACTGATCACTAGAGAGGACTTGGTTGTTAAGGCAAAAGGATTTGCCGTTCAAGGAGCAAATGTAATGCAGGGTGTACTTGTTACTAGCACATCTCTTTTAAGTAGTAGTTTGCAGGTCATGTTTTCAATCGGGAGTTCTATACTTTCCGGAGCTGCAGGTCTTTTCAATTTTCTGTCTCAATCAATGGTGTTTTTCTGGGTACTTTATTATCTTATCACATCGGAGTCAGGAGGAGCAACAGAACAAGTAATATGTATGCTTCCAATATCACATTCGGCAAGGATTCGATGCGTGGAAGTTCTTGACAAAGCTATTTCCGGAGTTCTTTTAGCGACTGCGGAGATTGCGCTCTTTCATGGATGCTTAACTTGGCTCTTGTTCAGATTATACTCGATACACTTTTTGTACATGTCGACTGTCCTTGCATTTATCAGTCCTCTGTTTCCTATTTTCCCTACGTGGTTTTCAACTATTCCAGCAGCATTACAGTTAGTGATTGAAGGTCGGTATATATTGGCGTTCAGCTTATCCATTATTCATCTTGTGCTTATGGATTATGGTACCTCTGAAATTCAAGAGGATAACACTGGCTATAGTGTATATCTCACTGGTCTCAGCGTTATTGGTGGAATGACATTGTTTTCTTCAGCAATTGAGGTAAATAGCAAGCATCTTTGTCTCTTGAATTTCTGTCATCTCTTGAATTTCTGTCATAAATTTCCTCGCATAGTTGCATTTCTTTGGTACCATAGTCCGTATGTTGGACGCATTCTCTCCTCTTGTTCCTCTACTTGACCATGAGAAGAAAAAGTGCATAAGAGGTAGGTAAAATATAGCCCCGAGTCACCTATTCCAGTATTAGACAGAAAGGCAGCCAGGTGCACTAAGCTCCCGCTATGCGCGAGGTCCGGGAAAAAGCCGGACCACAAGGGTCTATTGTAGGCAGCCTTACCCTGCATTTCTGCAAGTGGCTGTTTCCACGGCTCGAACGCATGACCTCCTGGTCATATGGCAACAACTTTACTAGTTACGCCAAGGCTCCCTTTCCAGTATTAGACAAAAAGGAAGCTTTTAATTTCCTTTTTCTATTTCAAAAGCTGTGAAAACAACATGAAGGGAAGGACAAATAATTCCCCCGAGGAAAGAAACTCACTGCCTTCACCTACAACTTTATTCTTCACTATGTCAACCTTTAGTGTAAGTCATGCCTATGTTTTTCACGAACTGCTGATTCAATGCATAACT